GATAATTGCACCAGAGTTAGAAAAAGTTTTGACAGCATTAATACTTATCCATTATTATGTTCGGAATTGTAATTTTATACTTACTTTTATGCAAGATTTATAAAAGTTTTGGTAAAAATTATTCATATGATCAAAATTACATGTAATTTTGATTTTGAAATTTTCACAAATTTACGTAAAATTATGTAAAATTACGGTAATTTGTTAACCCTAATTAAACAGCAGAGACCGTTAATGTTACACATATTAAAACTGGTGAGGAATTATATCACAATTGAATCCAATATAAATAATTTAATTTGTGATTGATCAAAGGAGAGAGGGATTCACTCTGGATCGGGCAATGTCTCTGCTGTTCCCTAATTATAGGTTACATTACGGATTATGCCTATGGATGGAAAATTACCGTAATTTTGCGTAATTTTACGTAACTTTGCGATAAGTTTCGATAAACTAGTTCATGTAATTTGTAATTAATAAACGAATTGAGGAGTTACAAATTAGATTATGCAAAAATGCTTGCCGACTATTACTTATATATAGTGTAATACGAAAATTACATATATTGTAAGATTGTAATTTTCAAACCTAATTACGCCAAGCAGATAATCAAGTAGCACATCAAAATCTAATATTTCTTAAATTATCGACACACTATATTGATGATTTAGGAAATGTTTTTTTTTAATAGGGATCATGTGTTTTGTTTTATTACGGTGTTTTTTTTTTTTTTGTACAGTACCGGACAGCAAAAGACATCCAATTTTTTTTTTCAAAAACGCCAAATTTGAGGATTATGTAATCAATTCTGATTGGTTAATTTGTGTATAATTAATTCTGATTGGTTAAAAATATATGAGTGTCGCTAAAAGAAAACCCGAAAATCTAAATATGACTTATATTTAAATTTTCGGGTTTTCTTTTAGCGACACTCATAAATAGATATCGGTAGCTTTTTTTATATAGTAAACGCCAAATTTTTGATCACATATAAACTTTAAGTTGTAATAATTTTTAATCTTATAAGATAAATAAAAATCTATTCTTACAGAATTGTAGCTCAGGCTAAAAACAGCAAATCTGTAAAATAGATTTTTTTAAAGTTATTTGAGCTTGAATTGTAATGATTTTTATATTTTATATATAAATATGGGATGTTTTTTGCTGTCCGGTACTGTACAACCTATTTTATATCTTTTTTATTCACCTGTACAAAAAGAAATCCCTACGTATAAATAAATTGTGTATAAATTTAAACCGTCAATTAGGATATAGTATCAAAAAAGAAACTTATCGTCATTAGCAATGAGCACATCTGATAACTCATCCAAAGGAGAAGACTTGAGCGTGGGCCATGACATGGCTTGGAATGAAAGAAAATATAATCTCATTAAGCTAAACAAAAATGTTGAAAAGTGGAAAGTACTTCGGGTATCTTCTTTTCAACGTTTAGTCATAGCAGCTGCTTTGTGTATACTTTCACTTGGACTCGGATGCTATCTTTTTAATGCAGATAAAAGCAGTGTTAAATCAACATTAAAGATTATTTCAACTGCTATTTTTGGAACAGGAAGCCTTGGGACTTTGATTGCGAGCCTAATGTCACTTAAACAGCTTTTTACTAAAGAAGGAAAAAAGAATGAAAATCAAAATAATAAATATGAAGAGAAAGTTAATGATTGCGTTGTTAGCAATTCAAAAAAAAATTGTCCCAAAAAATTAGATTCTTCACAATCATCACCTTTACTATTTGTAAAAGCACTTATCAAGCATATAAATGTTATGATGATTTGTCGTACTATATGGATTTCTTTGATGTCATGTACATTTATCATTTTATCTATAGTTGTTGTTTTTCTAATTATTTATAGTACTGAGAATACTGAGATATATTTATACCATTACTTAACAATTATTCTTATTGCCTTTTCCGTTTTTTGTCTATTGGAGGTCATTGCTGTTTCTCTTTGTATTACATATTACATTCCTCAGTTGGATGAAGTGGATGAAACTAAAGAAGCGGACACAAATAAATGGGAACAATCAAAATCAGATGATAAAGAATTAGAACCAGATGACAAAAAAACATCAGATAAAAAATCAAAGTTAGAACATAAAAGTGCACGATATAAAGATATGCATATTTTAGTTAATGAAATGTTTAAATCTACATCTGGTTTTCTAAAGAAATATTACAGCTATTATAATGAGTATGAAAATGAAGAAAATGAATTCCTTTGTATTACCGTTATTTTGGTAACCACAATGCTAATAGCATGTGAGATTACTATATTGCAAAGAAAACTGGTGACAGAAAATTTTAAGGATAAGGAGAAACCGTCAAAAGATGATGATCAAATCCTGAATTGTTATCAAAAGAACATACTTTATTTGTTAGTGACTATAAATTCTTATATGAACACTATTACTGATGACGCTGGTAGAATTATAAAATTCATACCTGAGAAAAATTTTCAAAGATATTATCCTGGCACTATAGACCATAGTTATATGAGAAAATCGTTACTTGCAATAGAATTAATTAATGATTTAGATCATAAATATGATGAAGATTATTTGCTTACCATGAAAAAATTAAATTCGCCATTTTTAAATTTGCAAGCTATTTTTAATACTATATCTGATGAAAAAGCACTTGGTTCGGATGATTCATATAATATTGATTTGATTGGATTGTATCATAAACTGGAAAACGAAATGGATACAAATCAATCTGAACTATCTATTGAAGATAATAAATCAGAAATCCCTTCAATTGAAACACAAAAAAATTGGCTGAATGATTTAATTTATAACATGGATATTAAAATTACTGAGCAATCTAAGTTAGCCATTAAAGCAAATAAAGTAGAAGATATTGATCTAGACAGTTTAGAGAAAAAAATAGGGTCAATTCTATTAGGAGTTATAGACAGGATTACGGAAATCAGGACTCATAAAGGATTTAAAGAATATAAAAATTTACAAAAGTATATTGATGCTTTAAGAATTCAGGTGATAACTATAAAAGATGATTTAATTATGGAAAAGTGCTTTATGAGTAAAATCGATTTGTTTGACAGAATTTTTAAGAATAGAAAAAGTTGGCTTCAGAAAATATTTTTGTGTTTTTTAACTATTATTTATTTTCCTAGTCTTCTCTTAATTGGTTTGATATCATGGAAAAAAGATAAATGGGTGTATAGGGCACAATTAAATAGAATTGAAATGAGCAACAAAGAAAGAGAGATAATCAAACGTCTTCTTTTTGGGTTATCAATGGATAGTAGCAAATTTGTTTAACTATATAACCACTTTCTATCTTCACCAGCATATTTCTGATTATTTCTATTTATAATTATATTTGGTCATTTGTATTCTTTTTTATTAGCATTATTTTTCTCATGATATTTTCTTTATAACTAAGGGGAACAAGTGCACAAAAATTGTGGCATGATGTATCCCGATTTTTTTGGATGATCTTTCTGTTAAATGAATTTGGAATCTTGAGTCAGAGATATTACAATTATACAGTTTATGGTTAATATTGATTATTTATATAAAAAACTCGTATTTTTAATCTTACCCAGGTGCGCAAACAAAATTTTACTATCATGTGATAAGAATTTAGTGATTCTAATAGTAAAATTGCTCAAAAAACTTTTTGTTGGTGCACAAAAGGTGGTTTCTTATTTAAATTTTTGAGAAATAAGTAATTTCTTAAAAATGAACGTTTGTTTGAATTTCCCAGATCGTGTGATATTACATAAACTCGGGATTCACTATTGACTAACTTCTGTCGATCAACACGCGATAGTGAAAATTTTACTTAGCGTTTTGTTGGCGCACCAGGAGTAGTTATTAATGTTGGGTAAACTATTGGTATTTTGGATTTGGGATTTGGGATTTAGGACGAATTTTATTATGTTTGGAATTGGGATTTGGATTTGAATTTGGGGTAATTTTATTATGTTTGGAATTTGGGATTTGGGTTTGGGATAATTTTATTGTGTTTGGAATTTGGGATTTGGGTAGGATTTTGAAAATTTATAGTTTTGCCAACATGTATAGGGTAGGTTGTATTTTTTACGGAAAACCATAGATTATAACATCCATATGATTGGTTAAGTTATGTAGATCTAAGCGTGATTATTGACCAATAAATCAATTAAATAATTCTTTCAATACGCGAAATAGAATGAAATAACTATTATTATTGACAAAAGTGAAACTTTTTTGAATGCTAAAGTCATTCAACTTTATTTATTAATCATTACATTTTACTAAACCATGATATATGTAACTACTCTTAGTCTATACTATTAGTTATATTGCATCACCGTGTTTACTACATATTAGAAATCTTAGTTTTTCTTTTATTTGATAATAATATATATATATATGCTTTTGCCTAGGTAAAATAAGTCTTAAACATTTATATTGCTTGGCTTATTTAATAAAAGTATATTAGTATAATATTTACAGTTTAATAACCTATAAATCTAATATGTATATAATATTTAGGGGAATTTACAAATAAGGGCCCGGAAAGTGAAAATAATTACAAATACGGGCCCAAATCAAAAATAATTACATATAAGGGCCTAATTGTTAAAAAATATTACATATAA